TCGACCCCACTAACAGCGAGGTAGGACCCTGGCGCCACTTCCCGATGCCCCCCTGGGCTGTGGGCAGCTCTCCTGGCCCTTATCTGTCCGTAAGACACCTTGGGACAAGAGTGACACTTCTGTTCTGCATCACGAGTTAGCAGCTGGGGTCAAAGGTCCTGCCAGGGTACAGGTCCAAGTCAAGCAACTGCATTTGTAGCTTGGGTTTTAATGACATTTCTGCATTAAAGACACCAGGAAGGTGGTGTTCTTCCTGCAGATTGTCACTTTCCTGTTTCTTTGAACTTAACTCAGGGCAGAAACCTCCAGCAGCTGGCTGTGATAAAGAGAGCATGTCCCCACACTGCTCTCACTGGCTGCAATATTGCTGAGGGCAGCAGCATGGTTTTCCATGCCTGGTTTTGACAAATTTGGTATTTTTTTGCACTGAAACCCAGGCTCCCCCTTCGGACAGGTCCCGGTGAGGCCGTTGCCAGTGGTGTGAGGCGGGCGATGGCCGCGGAAGCAGCAGCCCTCAGTACTTAGCACTGCCCATGGAGAAGAGTTTTTCCGTGAGCGCAGGCGTGCTGGGAGGAGGTGCAGGTCTCGTCTCGTTGCCACTGCAGGTCCTTTCGCTCGTGCGCTACCTCTTTCCAAGAAAGACAGTCCAAGCTGTGCTTAGAAGTGAGCCCGGGCGCCTCGCTAAGGACGCCTTGGACAAAACGCTGCAGGGCCCTGCAGGGCTCCCGGCTCTGGCTGGCGTCACCCGCGGCGGCGGGCGCAGTAGGTGCGTGCTGGCAGGGGGGTCTTGGCCATTAGTTTGTTAATGCAGTGACTCCAAAGCGGGTTGTGAGGGTGAAGGTTTTGTTTATTCTGGAAGCGACATGTTTCGGCTGCCTTCAGAGCCAACAGATGAACTATATTTTCTTGAAATTGCCATTTTTACCCCTTTTTGCTCCTGAACAGTTTGCCAGATCTTCCACCTGTGGCCTTGGAAACTCTTCCCAAGCCAGGAGTCTTGTTCCTACTGAGTCCTTTTTGTATTACGTCCCTCTTTGAGTGCTTGCCCTTTGGCTACAGTGTTATTTCTGCATCGGTACTTGCCCCAGGCCACCAGTCACCCTGGAGGATGACGTGAAGGAAGCGGTGGATGCCAGGGGAGCCACGTGGGACTACGAGCTGTGCGAGGAGCCAGCCACATGCACAGGGACAGTGGCCCGGGTGAGTGGGCTGGCGGGCAGGGAGCTCTGGTGGCAGGAGGGTAGGGGCTGTGGGGACAGCAGGGTGCACTCCTGTGCTGTTTTCATGCCTTGCCTGTGAAGATGGGGGTAAGGCTCTAGGAGGCTCTAGTCCTGCCTGGCATAGCCCGGATTTTCTGGAGAAAGCAAGCTAATTCTGCCCAAAACTGCATTTGCCTGGGGGTTATTCCAGCTCCTCCTGGAAGCCAGTGGTAAATGAACAGCCTTTTGAAGCTGTTGGTTTCTCGTTCCTGGCCGGAGGCTGACATTGCTCACAAACGATCTCAGCCTGTGGGGCTCAGGGCTGCCTCGGCCCCCTGCTCCGAGGTGGCCACTGGCCCGTTGTGAGACGCAGGGCTGTGCCCTGCAGGGAAGAGGGCTCTGGGTGTCGCTGTGGCCGAGACACCAGCGGCTCTCTTGGACCTACAGCGGCTCCTCGGCAGAGCGCAGCTCCCCAGCCTGCTGCGACTTCGCTCCTCCCCGGGGAAAGGGCTTGTTTCTAGTTACTAATTAGAGACCAACTCTCCTCTAAATCCCCAAAGTCCCAGCACGCTGGGCAGCAGTTTCTGGGCAACTGCACGTCTTTGAAGTCCTTCTGCACCAGCTGCAGTCAGTAATCCAAGTCAGTGACTATTCCCCAACCATTTATTTCATAAAGGATTTATTTTAAAATTAGAAACACATCACATTTTTAAAAGAGGCAAGATATTTGAATGTACTGGCTCCCAGGCAGCATTTGGATAGTGACTGACATCGCTGTCCCCTGAGCTCTGGCCTCAGCAGGAGGCTGGAATGGTCCCCAGTGCTGGCAGCTCCTTTCAGAGTGGGGCAGAGACCCAGGGCCCAAGAGGAGGAGCTTGGGGACCTTCCTAAATGTGCCTGTTCACCCCTCCACCAGGCAGTTTGGTCCCACAGAGGGATTCATTCCGTTTCCTCTGACCTGTACCGCTGTAACCGTCTGCCTGGGAGGATTAAAACAGGGCACAACGGCCAGCAGTGAGCGCTGCCTGCCCAGTGCTTGACAGTACTGATCGTCTCCATGTCCCCCCAGGTCCCCTCGCTGTAAGGGGCACTTCCTAGAAGCCGAATGGATCCAAAGCCTGTGGGGTTGGAGCAGAAGGATGTGGAGAGGCTCAGTAGTCCAGCACTGCAACAATGTCTCAGCCTGCTGGAAAAATCATCGCTGAATAAAAAGAACATTCAAAACTTAACAACACGGCAGTGTCCTCTCGAGGTAGGACTCCAGTTTTTTGGAGGTTTCAGGGGGATCCTTTAGGCTGTACAGGGAAGATGGACAAGGCGACGTTGGGAAGAGCTGGTCCTGGCAGGTCAGATGTTGTTGCCATTTCCCTCTGTACACCCGTATTCTGGTTGAGGCTGTAGCTGGACTTGGCAAGCACCAATTCACAGTGAAATGAAACTGGAAAGAAGTTGCCTTCAAAACTTCCTGAAAAGCACTTTTCACTGCATTTCACTGTATTTTCAGAGGTCTTCATGGGCCAGTGTGTGTTGCAGGTGTTGGAACACCAGCATTTTCACATTGTGCCAAGGAACTGAGGCAGACAGTCACAATAAAATACACATACACACACACAAATATATATATATAGCTAAAATGTTGTAGTTTTTTTTTTTAAAAAAAGCTTTTTCTGGGCTCAGAATCTTGAGGGATTAGATCTAAATAGCTGCTAGGAGAGGAGAGAGCCACTGATGGCCACCTCTGAGAAGGAATAGGTGACTGTCCCTCACTACTGTCCCTCTTGGTATCTTCCTCCCTTGTCACAGCTTGTCTTGGGTGACATACTGGGTTGTTCAGTATCCGCCATCACTTGGCCAAGGAATAGATAAAGTGCTTTAAGGCTCATTGCTTGCATTTGTTCCCATAACTGTGTCCTGCAGCTGCCTCCTTGGGGCAGGAGAGTTGAGCAGGGAGAGCACTCATGTTCCTGGGAAGTAACAGGTAGCTCCTTGTGCTTATCCCTCCAGCCCTGGGCTCTGCAACTTGATATACATCCTAAATGGTGTGAAGCTGAGCAGGCTGCAGATTGTCTCCTGAGGATTATTCATATCTGCTATAGGCTCTACATGCAGCTTCAGAAGAGAGTCCTTGCCAGTGCTAGAAGTAGAAACTAATCCGAGAGGACACTGTTTTGCACCCCGTTGATGAAAAGATTTTCTCTTCCTCTGGGAAGTAGGGAATGCTGTCGGCCACTCCCTGGATGACATCCTGCCGTACCTCCAGGCCTTGCTGGAGGAGTTCATTGGTGACACATTGCTTTACGTGGTGGCGCTTCAGTGGGAGGAAGGGCACAACAAAATCAATGAGATGTTCATTAATGATCCCAGATTTCCAGAATCCACCTGCAAACCAAAGGAACAGAGAAAAGGTTTTACCTTCAGAGAGTTTTTGCAGACCTTGGAATTCAAAGAGCTGCTTTGTGGGAAGCCAGAATACTCAGCTGAAGACAGACCTGCTGCTTGTGTTGTATAAGGCAAGAGCTGTACCCATCTGTTGCTCCCCACTGCAAAACAGATTTGTTGTCCTCCAAGAATGGTGGGTTTTAGCCTGAGCAGACAGGCTTCAAGCTCCCCTCCCTGTGACAGAGAGGGCCTGGATCCTGCCTGGATAAGGGCAGAGCAAGGAGCTCTAGGTAGGCAGTGGGTATTAGTGGTACTTGGTACTTTTCCAGTGAGCATGTAGCCTGCCATCCTCTTGGCTGTGAATGCACCTCCTGTCCCAAGAACTTAGCTAGGAGTTGTGTCCCTCTGGTGCTGGGAGGCTGGCTTGGGAGTTTGGGCTCTTCCTTCCCTCCACCAGGAAACCTTGAGGTTGTCACAGTTCCCTCTCCTCAACGCCCAGCCCTTTCTCCCTGCTCGGGATGTGCCAGGGATCCCCTGCTCGGGATACCGTGTGGAAGGGACCTGGCTCCCTCTGCTGGGCTCTGCTCCCTGCAGAGAGGAGCTTGTGGGGACACTCACTCTGAGGGTTTTCAAAAACAGCTTTGGAGATGGCCGACTCCATGTCCTGAAGGCTGATCTCCTCACGATCCTTGTGTGCATGCCAGAGATCCAGGGTCATTTTCTTAATCTGTTCTCCTCCTGCATTGCTGCAAAAGAACAAGGTGCTTTTTTGATATATTCAGGAAAACGGTGCTGCAGAACAGAGGCAGCATTTGACTTTCCCAACAGCCATGTGTGCACTCTAGGACCTCGCAGCTGCCTGGCCTAAAGCAACTCCTCTAAAGGCAGCCAAATAACAGGAGCTTTCAGACTCTCTTCCTTGTTTATTTACAGCAAAATAGGGTCAAGGCTTGGCAAAGGAGAAGCAAAACAGAAGCATGCACTGAAGTATGCACCAACCTCTGCACAAGTCAGAAGCTTCGTGCTGGGATACCCTGTGATGCTGCTGTGCTGGACACAGAGGGGCTTCTCTTACCTTATGAAAATGAAAATCGCTTTGCGGTAGTTGGTCCCGTAAACAACCCACGAGGGTCCCAGGAAGGGCATGATCACATCGATCAGCCCTGGGTGCATCTTGTCCATCTCGTCAAAGAGAAAAGCAGATCGCCCACAGGTTGTCAAGTTCCCTTGGATCCAGTGCTTCAGGTTCTCCTAGGAAAAATATCCAGCAAAGCATAAGGCACTGATGTACCTGAGGGCGAGGGAGGCTCAAACTACCGCAGAGCAGAAGCTGAAACAGAAGCTCAAGCTGAGCTGATGGTGCTGAAAACAGGAATGGCTGGGAGCAGCTTGTCCCGGCGTAGCACCACCTACTCAGAGCAGGAACAGCCAGGAGTGAGGAGGCCTCCTCTATTTTAGACTTGGCACGGTAACTGTTACCTGCTTTTGAGCCCATTATAGAGCTTTTATTACAGTTTTAAAGCAGTATGAAGGAGGCAGCCAAATAAAGTTGAGTATTGAGACTCCCACAGTTTTACATGTTCTTTTCTCCTTCCCTGTGTATCAGCTCTCAGCTACTGAGTGCTCCAGGGGAGCTTTCTGCCCCTTCCCCTTCTGCTGTACAAACAGCAGCCTCCCCTGAAGCAGAAGAGCTGGGGCTCTGTGGTGGCTGA